TGTGCTCTCCATAAACATTGGTTTTCAGTGCTACGAAACTCCATTGGTGTATTATTGGTGCAATGCTGCTATCTGGACACGGTGTGACTATTTGACTTGCAATGTGATGGTGTGATCTGGGATTGTTATCTTGCTGTTGCTTATTTTCCTTGCAATTTGGTATCGGAGCTGGTTCATATTGCGCTTCATTGGTTCTTCGCAATAGCTATTGGTGCTTCGCATGAGGTGTGGGGCAGTGATACGGCATTGGCGTTGAACATTAGGCGGCCCAGGGTTGTGTGGGCGCGCCAGGGAGCTATGTGGTGACGTACAGGATGTATGCTGGATGATGAGAACTTGCTGATGTGACATATTAAGCTGAGGTGGAACCGCATTCTGCTGTTGGTTGTGCCGAAGCAAAGCCCGGTCATCATAATTGCACATCAGGTTACTGGTGAGAAATCTGTGGTTGGGGGCAGCATTTATGAGGTACGTTGCTCTCTTCCTTATCTACCCTCTTCATCTTTTCTTACCGTGAGGAAAAGAGTTTTGTCTCGAGAGTCCTCTCGATGTGAGGTGTTGCGAGCGCTCAACCTTGAGAGTCGACATTCTTCCTGGGCAGCAAGCTGGTGGGAGACGGGCGAAGCCTCTGAAGGGCCCTGGACGAAGCACTCGGGTCACGGTCACCATGCCAACCCGCTGGGACTAGTACACGTATGCTTGGGCCGCAAGTCCTTGTTCTGCTGCTTGCGCAAATAGGGGTCAACTCGGGCATGGCAGCCTCTATGAGACGCTCACCAGACCGTCTATAAACATTTCTGGTTGGGGACTCGGATTGAATCTGGGTGTGATCATCGTCCTGACTGCGACGTTAAATAATTCTTGAAGAGATGGGGGCGCTCTTAATAATCCTCCTGATCAGCCAGATCAACCGGGTGTAAGGCTCGTCGGCGTACGAGGGTAAATAAGAGTGTTGTGGCTGCCTTGCTCGACGATGACTTGAGGCACAGGGGTGGGACCGGATTGCACACCTTTAGACACGCTGCTCAACCAGATGCTGAGGGACGTTGACACAAAGTGATTACTCAAGAAGGATACAGGGGGAGGGGGCATTCCGGTAACTGTTCGCAGTGGCAATCAACAGACAATCTGCCATCAAGCATACATCTCCAACAGGAGATGTTATTCTTTGTTTTGATTATCTAGTTGTTACGGACTTGCTGACAACTGACAGACAATTACAAATAGATTAGATCTTTGCTGTATGGCAATCTGTTCCAGGGTAATCTAAAAATAGATGTAATATATCATGTAGGACCTGACATTAGTTGTAACTACATCACCCAACTGTTTTGTCCCATCCGACCGAAAGTAGTTGTGTTTCATAATCGGTTGTGTGTTAAGCTAAGGTAGGATTCAGTGTGGGTTCTAGTTTAGATCACACACACTGTAGCTCATGAGTGATGCAAGCACAAGTGAGGAGGAGCTACTAGTGGACGACCGTAGGACTACTCGCGGGACTGCCCGCAGTCGGCCCTTGACATTCCTGGAGTCAGGTCCAAGAGACGAGAGAAGATTGAGGAGAGAGGCTAGAGAGAGGGCAGCGGCAAGGAGAGCGAGGGCAGCTGAGGACAGTGCTAGATCTAGAATTACAGCTAGCATCAGTACAGCCATGGCTACCTCATCTATGACGCAATCCTCTACACAGCCCACTTCGTCGGGAGTCAGTCAGAGTGGTACTCAGGCAGCCACTAGTCACATTGGTCATGTGCGAGTCAGCCAATCTCCTATCACGCCGGAGGACTTGGAAATCCGGCAAGCAGAAGAACTTCAGGATGAGCTACAGCGGCAGATGGACGAAGTAGTAGAGAGGAAAAGGAAAACTATGCAAAGAAAAGCTAGACTAGAGAGTAGAGCTCAGGAGCTAGGCAGACTGGAAAGACTGGATGAGTCAATATTGGATCCTGCTGTTCGTGTGTTGCGAGGAGCCTTACTTTCAGTAGCAAAAGCGCAAAGCGTCCAGAAGGAATTGTTGGCTGATTTGGTAGCAGGCCAGAAACAAATTCTGGCTGAACTTCGGGGCCCTCGCACAATGGTGAGGCAGCCGCCGTTTGCTGTAGTTCCCCCTATAGGTGCGGGTCCATCATCGATGCCGCAACGCACAGGGCAAACTTTCTCTCCCATGTTTGGCATACCCTCCCCGGGTGGTTTAGTAGCAACTAGTGGTCCGGTTCATACAATCTCAGCCGTACCATCTACAACAGTGGTCACTACAGTCCCACTGTCCAGCCAGGCCCAGGCTAGTGTGCAACAGCCTGTTTCAGTGGCTATGCAGCCGTTGCAGCAAGCACCTGGGCCCATGCAGCCGATGCAGTGGATGCCCAAGATACCTTTAATGAGTCCCAAGCCTTTCTTTGGAGACAAGAAGAAGGAGGAAGACTTGGATACCCGGGTGAGGACTGTGCCTACTTATGTGAGGCACAAGCTCACAAGGCCAGAACAGGAAGTTGTGGTGGCTGCCTCCTTTTTAGAAGGATCAGCAGCCCGCTGGTTGAATGGCTTGGTGCAGCAACAGGGCTACGGTCAGGATTTCGATGCCTAGGCTGAGTCTCAGACATTGGAACAGTTCGTACGGTCCGTCTACAACAGGTGGAATGACCCGCAAGGGGCTCAAAAGGCCACCGATGCTATCAACAACCTTTGTTCCCTTAGGTTCAAGGATGTTAGAGAGCTTACATAGGTTCAAGGATGTTAGAGAGCTTATAGACACCGTAGAACGCCTCCTCGTGGTACCTGGTGTGCGTTTTGACCCGCAGGTTCTCCTAACGGACTACCTAAGGTGCCTACCTACAGAGGTAAGGACCAAGCTGGTTGACGAGGCCTATATCGACCAGCACACTTTTGCTTCTTTTAGTAAGAAAGCACTGGACATAGAGGCAAAGCTAGGATCTGCGCATAAGGCATCCAATGATGGCAGGAAGAGACTGCCCCAAGACTGGAAGAAAAAGGGTCAGTTAATGTTCGTTGACCACGATGGTCAAACGACGGAGATTGACGACTACTCAGATCTTGGGGAGTTCACAGAGCACGATGGGGGTGGTGAAACTTCAGATGGTGGAGTCGTGGCACCCATCAAGGAAAAGGCTAGGGGGACCGGGAAGAAGAAGGTAGTACGGTCCACGGGTCAGGGCGACCAAGGAACACCCGCATGGGTGAAAATTGGTTTAGAATACGAGGTGTGGCGTGACCTCGTTGCTAGGGGTACATGCATGAGTTGTGGCAACTTTGGCCACATCCAGGACTTGCCGCGGCAAGAAAGTCACAACGAAGGTAGCTTCACCAACGGTGGTGGGCTTACCTTCGAACCCTGGGAGTGCTTCTGCGAGCAGCTCACAGGGACACACCTCGGGCCAGTAGGAGTGTTAGCCGCTCTTACTCGCGCTGAAGTGGTAACATTGCCTTCCCCACTTCAGCTGTTGGCCAAGGCTAGTGACCCACGTATCGCCCCGCAGACACATTCAGACCCACCGACGCTCTGTTCGAGAGATGTGTCTGAGGCCCTAGAAAAGTTAGAGACTGAGTGGTCAGGAAAGGACACAGGGACTCTTAGGCGATGATGAGTGGAGGTCCAAAGGGTGAACATTTTGTGGTAGAAGTAGATGTAGGTGGCCGCAAGATTGGCGCCTTCGCAGACACAGGCTCTACATGAAATTTCATCAGTTGTGCTTGTGTGGATAGATTGCGCTTAGGGGACCAAGTGCAGCGGCTTAGCAGAACTGTAGCTTCTATGCTAGCCAACAAGCACAAGATGGTAGTAAAAGACTATGTCAAGGACGTAGCCTGTTCCTTCTCCTATGGAGGAGGGGAAGTAATCCACAAGATCTCCTTCCTGGTTAGCGACGAACTGCCATTCGACATGTTACTGGGCATGTACTACCTCGAAGTCTCGCAACCACATTTTGATTGGGATAGAAAGGTGTTGATACACAAGTTGCCAAATGGTAGGACCGTTAGGCTGCAAAAGTACAAGGCTAGCAGTCTAGTGGAGAACTACGGTTGCATGTGCGCTTCGTCTTTCTATAACTACTACAAGCAGAATCGCGAGGAGGGCATGTACCTAGTGTTTGTCTCTGAAAAGGGGGAGGTCGTTAAATCACCCCCAGAGATAGAACAAGTCGTCGCTCAATATTCAGACCTTTTT